TGCCAGTAGCTGACTTTTGCTCAAATAAACAGAAACAAAAACCTCTTTAGTCAATATTCACGTTCAACGGAGATCGAAGAACTCTGTTCGTATTCCTAGAATTCAAGAACTCAGGCATATGCACGACTGTGATGAAACCTATTATCGGCAACAGCAAGCGAAGCCCCCCACCTAAACGCCTGAGAGCACGTAAAATTCTCTCCGCCTGTTATTGCAACGGACAGGTCCGCGCGCTTGTTAGGAAACGTGGGCGACAAACCGTGATGCCAATCGGCTGCTTCCTCACATTTTTAAAATTATCATAATTCTCTGGCATATGGATAAAGCCCGTAAACTTTCGTGACTTTTCTAGAATAGAGTCAAGCCTTCCCGAGATCTTAGATGCTAAATAGCGTTTGAAAAAATCCGGAAGCGGCCGAAACATATCAAATCCGGCGCACGCTTTTTCGTGTGGACGGATAAAAACGAGCGTATGCCGCATATTACCAGCATCAGAACATCTGTAAGCATTATTAAGCGAGAGCGAGAAAACAAACATTGTATACTCGGTTAGGGTCACACCAGTACCGTAAAAGCTCCGGGAAGACGGTTTTATTTGTGTTTCCTTGAGGGGTGCGCGCACGCACGCGCTTACAAAAGACAAAAACATGGGCGCACGGACGCACGCAGATGCAATCAACGCGAAGAGAAATCCTCCCGTGGCAGAATAGCACAGTGGCAAAACGACACCTTCCCCGGCCCCCCACACACAACGACACACACAGACACACACACCGAAAGGAGGAGCCACCAAGCCGCGCCGCGTAAACGGAACCCCACGGCCATGCAGGAGGCTCAAACGTCTGCCGCGCACAGACAAAGCCCCCCTAACGTTCGCTAAGCTGCACGTGTACTACGCGACGCGGGTACGCACGCCCGCAGTATCGGGGCAGAAGAGCGGAGGCCCGCCAAACTCGTTCGAGTCGCCGCTGAGTCTGTGCCGGTCCAAACATCACCCCCCCTCCCCCCCAATCCCCATCTGGGAAGCGCTGGTGCCGCTTCGTCTGCAATACACAGTCCCCTCCCCATTTCCGATTTCGCGCTTAAGCCGCGCACAGTCGCACACGCAAAATGTCACATCCTCTCTCAAAGTCCTCCAAAGCAAACGCCCCTGCAGTTGCTCCCCCAAACGTTACCAGACCACCCCTACGAATCTCGTTCTGGCCTCTAACAGAAGTTCCTTCCAAGTTTCTGCTCCGTCTACACTCTATACTAACCGCCACAGCATGTTTGTGCGTGTAAGGGCACCAACATGCTGCAGACACTACCAAATGTCAAGTCGGCTATCAGTCGCCAAGAGTACGCACACGCAAGCAAATCCATACCAACATCTCCTGAGTCCTGACTCCTAGTTCACGAACTCAGTCCCCATCACATCACAAATTCAGTTCACGAATTCATTCACCATCACATCACGTATACACCAGAGTCACGAAGTCCTTCACCACTGCATCACGGGTGCGTCAGAGTTCACGAGGTCACTCCCCGTCACATCGCGGCTCCTTCCGAGTTCATGAAGTCACTCCCCTTCGCATCACGACTCGTTCCGCGTTCACGAAGTCACATCCACTTCACATCACGGCTTCTTCCGAGTTCACGGAGTCACGCCTGTTCACATCACGACTCCTTCCGCGTTCACGAAGTCACATCCCCTTCACATCACGGGTTTTTTCGCGTTCACGGAGTCACGCCCATTCACATCACGACTCCTTCCGCATTCACGAAGTCACATCCCCTTCACATCACGACTTGGTCCGAGTTCACGAAGTCATTCACAGCCCTTCACCATGTCGCGGTGAGCGTGAGTGAGTGTGAGTGAGCGAGTTCGTGAGTGACTTCGCCGAGGTATGCCTGTGGGTATAGGAGCGGAGCGCGTATGGATATTTTGCTTCCCACTGATTGCCACAATGCATAACGTGGAATTACGCCGCGATGAGACGCTTCGAGTTTTGGAATAAATCTATGGCGCTAATTTGTCGACAAGTGTCGATTTTCTTCTTCAGAATTAGATCTCAGCGATCCGGTTGCCTATGAAGTCACTCCAGCAATTTCTCGTTTTCAGTTATTTTGTGACAGTCCAAACACAAGCTAGATGCATGTTTCCGAGTCAAAACCGTGAGCGCTCACTTTCGCATTGCTGACGCCACATTGCACAACATAGTTGGAGTTTGAGCAACTACGTTTTTCAAATGGATTCCGAAATGAAAATTGAAATATGCGTCAAATGCTCAGAAACGAGTTAGACAGGATAATCGAAATCTGGTAATGAAAATCGCATCTTTATATTTTGAACGGATGGATATATTTTTCGCACCAATCGGCCGATTCCGGTGAGCGCTCGAAGAGCAGCCATCGGAGAGCGCCATGCGTCTCGGCAGATGTGGTGCCTCCAGTGCGTTCTCCATGTCATGTTTACCTTCACGGGCAAGGCTAGTACGAGGCTGGCGTGGTTGCGAATTTTCGTCATAACTTGGCGTCGTAACAATGTCAAAAATAAGTCATTTATAACATTCCATTAACATGTGGAAGATGTTATATTGGACAGACAGGGCGCTGTATTCAAGGGGTACTCCGCCGATTTCTTCATGGTCCCCGATTTGCTTGAAATTTGGCTAAACTCGCCAAACAACATCGCCAAAATAGTATCCCAAATATTGGGTCAAAATAATTTTTTTTCACGAAGTTGTTGAATTTACAATTTTGGTCCTCACCGTGTTTTTCAAACTGAAAGTCTCTACTGGCAACAGCGAAAAAGTGACGTCAGTGGAAGTGTAGGGGTTCACTCTTTGGACTGTAGAATTTGTTCCCAACTGATTCGAAGCAGTTTCATGGTGTCAAATGACTGCTTTGGAAGCTCGCTCCAGGACCCGCGCTTCAGCACGGAACAAATGATTGGCATATTCTATTTTTTAGACTGTTCGCCCGACTGGCAAGCTAACCTTCCACTGACGTCACGGCACTGAAAAGGGCGGGTATATTTGAATGTTGGTTTTTGCATAATTTTCATTTGCCGATTTTGCAAAAACTATTATGAATTTCACGATACTAAATAGCATACCAGAAAGGGTAGAAGCCGGTGAGTCAGAAAATATAGTTAGTTGAGGTAGCTCAAAAATCGGCGGAGTACCCCTTTAATGATAGAACCAGGGAGCATGCCACATCTCTACTAAACTTGACAGCAGAAGGACACCTTGCAGCCCATTATCACACATGCCAATGCGAGGCAACGTTGTGCAACGTAAACATCGTGGGGCGACATAAAAATCAACTTGCCCGTGAACTACTGGAAGCCCCAGCCATCGAAGAAAAAGGCGAGGACTGTGTTAGTGCCTTTTCCGTTGCACTACACAACTCAGAAAAGATTTTCCTGCAGAGTGACATGAGTTTCAGGAAAAGGTAGAAGAGGAGGAAGACCGCTTAAAGAAGACAGAAGAAAAGGGATGAGAACATTCCGACAGCAGAAAGGTCAATGCGTTTAAGGAAAAGAAATTCCGAATTAAGTGTAAAGAAAAAGAAAACCTAAATCTAGTGTAAAGGATTCAAAAATCTAAGTTAGTGTAGAGAAAATGAAAAACCGTAACCAAGCTAGGATTAGCAGAAAGGGAAAAAGAGGCATCATTAAATGTTGCTAGTCCAGCGGTGCGAATGTTATATTTTTTCTCTGTGTGTTTTTTATGTTCAGCTGGCCCCATTCACAAGCAATGAACCAACTTGCTCAGCTTAAGCCCATAACATGATACACTACTGATACGCGAACACACTGTCACAAGGTCACATCGGCGATAATTCCATTCTTCTGTTCACAACACACCACACTGCCATCGCGATGTTGCTGCTATGTTGCTGAAACGCAGAAATATAAAACCGCGTTAATGGCTGGTTGGCACTCGGCATCGGAAAACAGAACCGAACTCAGCACAGAAGGCACCCAGGCACCCGGGCAGCAAAACCTGTCTGTTTTGGGCGCAGCCTTTCCGCGATTTCCATAACGTCGTCAACGTCGACACATCCACTATGGACACATTGTTCCGCGTGGTCCGTATGGTTCCGCATTTGTTCCGCATGGTTCCGCGTGGGTTCCGCAATCCGGAGATGGCCATCTTAGCCCAGAGCAAGGAGCGCTGCTGGCACTGCTCCGCAAATTCGCTGTTTCTAGCGGTTTCGTTTGCTCGTTTGATAAAATCAGTGGTAAAAACGTCAATGCAACCGAAATGTTTTGCACGTTTGGACATGGGAGACGGAATTAGAGGCGGCCTTCGCTGCCGCTGAAGCTCAATCAACTCAACAACTTTTATTAAACAACGTGCGCGACGTGCTCGAAAAACGAAACCGAAAGATGATTCGGGAGGGTGGAAGCTTTCTCCCGTCTACCTGGAGAAGGAGAAAAACGTCTCGTTCCTCCCTTCTCGTGTCCGCTTGGAGGCGCGTCAGTAGAAGGGAGGAAAATGCGCCGTTGCCACCTTTTTCCTCCATTTTTTCTTAGAGTGTAGCGCGTTCCTTTCGAATGCTCCAAGACGCACTCGTTGCCCCCCATTGTGCTTCGAATGCACATGCGTGCTCGATGTTCACGAGACGGCAAAGTGTCGATCACCGAAAGCACGAAGCTTGCGCTGGAGGCGGGACAAATGAAGCACCTCCTTGTCGGTCTCCTCGTTCACGCGATCATAAAGTTCCCTTTAGTCTAAGGGACCTCTATGGTTGGTGGCGAATCAGTTCGCGATTTTCCGCGCGTGGTATGCGCTAGCGACCCAAGAGCGCTGACTGATTCGCCGATTGCAGAGGGACCCATGTTAAGGGTACCTTCATGCTGGACGTGCGAATGCGCTGGTACCGTCGCTGTGAAGCGTTCCCGCCAGCAGCTTTGGCGCCGTCGTAGGCTCTCGCACGAGCGTGGCTTGCGATCGCACCCTACTATCGCGAGCGATAACTTTCGAGGTATACCTGCCTGCCACTTCACTCACCTGTACTTCTCGTCGACATGCCGCTGCATCCTCCGCAATGAAGCAAAGCGGCCCAGAGAACCGCAAACGCTCGCCAGTGACGCATGATCGAGACCGCGTTCCTCGCGCTTCGTGTGCAACTGAAGAAACCACTCGCGCTTTCGAAAGGCGCCGATTCGCGGCGACCGGGAGCGTCGCGTGTGTGATTGTGACAATTGTTAACTGCGTCAGCTACGCTTGTCTCGCGCGGGGTTGATAAACGAAAGATATGGATTTCACGATACGAAGTACCGAGCGAGCCACTCGATGCCGCAGATAAAGCAAAGAAAAAAAAAAGAGGAGACAACCGGACGACGAAACACCGGTCACTAAACGTTTTTTGAAACTATTTTTCTGAAGCGCAGCTTTCAGGCGCTTTTTCCGGGTTGAGCGGCGTCGGCGTAAAGGCGCATTCACACTGAGCAAAAAACGCCCGTTGCGGTCCACGTCGACGTCGGCGTCGAAAAAGACGAAACAGTCACACAGAGGCAACCGAGATCGGCGCCTTCTCGAGGAACCTCGCGTTTGTAGAGAGAACGCGGAATTTGTTAATTCGTCTACTTCGAACGATTGTTGTTGCCTTGACTTTGCGATTGCATATGCGCTCGGCAGGCACGTAGCTAGGGGGCGGGGGGGGGGGGGGGGAGCATAGGGCTCGGCTTCCCCCCCCCCCCCCCGCCCCCCCGAAACCTTCCATATTGCTGGGACCTCCTCTCCCCCCTCCCCCTCATACAGCATTTATTCATGGGTGGGCCCCCCCAAAAAACAAAATCCTGGCTACGTGCCTGGCGCTCGGAGACAACCGTCTTCACTGAATGGACAACGGCTATGATTATATATACGTTTACACTCCGATTGTATGCAGCATTCGCGAAAGGCACGGGTACGAGTTGGCACCTTCAGAAGGTGCTCTTTTGCTGCGTTTGTATGCAAACAAAGCACGGTGCTATGCCCGCGCGTCCGTACCTTTAACACTTTACGCCACTTGTGCGATAGTGTTCTCGAAGAACTGTCATAGTCGTAGTGGTGGCGTGCACACAGTAAATACACAAAACACATTGGGAGTGATCGCTCCCGTTCAGTCCGAGGTCGGAACACACTACAAACTTCGGCGGCGGCTTTCGTGCAAAGAATAAAGAGTAGTTTTACGGCGTCGTGCACACACATACAACACTAATTGCTCACAGTCAGATGTTCCAATCGGTCTGCTTCTCTCCATAATGAAATGCTTTCAGTCACGCTTGGCGACTGCATGAATCCCTCGACCCCTCTGCATTTTCGCCTTCATTGTGGATCCAAACTAAAAACAGCGAAAACATGTCCAAACCGGAAAAAGGCGATACGTCACGTCCGGTCGTCCTCCTCGACGCTCGAATTTTTTAAATAGAAAAATAAGCAAAACACTGACCCCACGGCTTGCGTTTTTATCGCTGTGTGAATGCGCCTTAACCGCGCGCGTTGCATTATGGCAAGTTTCCCCGCTAAAGTTAGCACGGAAATGTTTCCGCTAAATTTAACGGGAAAATTTCCCCGCTGTGCTAAATTTAGCGGGAAAATTACCCCGCTAACTTTAATGGGTTAAGTTTCCCCGCTAAATTTAGCGGGGAAATTGACGTCACGTGACCTCAACACCAATTCAGTTTCCCCTATATTTGGCGGAGAAAATGACGTCACGACTTCGTATCATGTCGCCCATGAATGAATTCAGCGGCAGGAGGAAAGGAGGACGGAAAAGGACGAAGAGGAGGAGGGGAGAGGAGGAGGAGGGTCATACCCTCCCCTTTTCCTCCTCATGAGCTGCTCTCCAGTTTCGCATTACGGAGATTTGTAAACGTCTTTATATGTTCTCCTCATTTTAAGAAGTCACTCCCAATTTCACTGTGAATGCACCCCAAGAAATCTGAAGCGTTTGCACTTCCACAAAGCACCGACAAAAATGTATTTAATTAATAACTTAATTACAATCGTTAGGGAAGTATTTAAATACAAGAAATGCGTGAGCATTAGTTGTTCCGGCGACGTCGACGGCACAGCGGCAACTCAGCTCGCCGGCACTCCCAAGGGCCGCGCCCCGGTGCCTCCTGCTCCGCGCCAGCTGTGCGACACTCCTAATGGTCCGAAGCGCTGACGTCAGCACGCATCACCCTCTCCCTCTTTGTCCACCTCGATGCACCTAGCGATGTCATGCATGGCGCTGACAAACTCACTGACTGACACCAACGGGTTTTCGTCGAAACGTGCGTTCTAGTGCTCACGCGTTAATACATATACGAGTGTATTTTATCATCATCTAATACTTTTTCATTTGTTCTAAGACTGAAATCTTAGATTCAAATTTAATCCAGGTAAAAAAGACTATACCCAAATCAACAGTGGAGCTCATATGAATCAGATGCTTAGAAAGAATGTTGCAGCTCTAAAGTAAAAATCTTGTTGTTATAACTTTATAAGCGGATTCAACATTAGGAAAGACGGTTGAATTCGGTTGAAGATTAATTTTAAAAAAAACTGAGTTGATGCATCAAAGCCTTTTCAAACAACAGGCCGTTAATTCGACTTGTTTAAAAATTAAATCACCCAAACGAAACGCCAATAATTGTACTCGGCTCTTTAATTCCTTGTTCTACTCTTTCTTTTTTCTTCAGTGTTTATTCTGGGGAAGGCGCAGCAAGTTTCACGCTCTTCACATATGACTCCCTTCGTGAAGATTCACCACGGTAAGATTTGGTTGCCGAAAATTGTATTTAGGGCTGTGTTTAAAATACATGTATATAAAAATATCAATTTTAAGTATTTAAATACAGTTAACGAATACATTCCCCAAAACGTAATTAAATACGAAATACAAAATACTCAAAATATTTTGAATACGTATTTCAAATATTTGTATTTGAAATACTGCCCATCTCTAATCCGGCATCTATTTATTAAAAAAAATATATGTATATATATATATATATATATATATATATATATATTGACGGATGATTTTTGGTTTTATTCTTCCTCAAATATTGATGTATTTCGATGATGTTTCGAACGAACGCTAAAAACGGATTATCGGTTAAAAAAATATCGTGAAGAACTGGGTTTTAAGTCTAAGAGGGGCTCGATAAGATGAATTCTAAGTGAAGCAAACATTTCCAGAAGTCGCTGTTTTTACAGCGGAGCTGTTAAGGGCTAGGTTCCCCTAGGGTGCCTCGATGTCCTTCTGTTTAGGGTGATGCCACCCTTTGTAGTACCCGATGCCGACAGCACGCGCTCACGGGGAAAATACAAAGAAATCGACGAAAACAAAATGTCGCCATAGCACAGTCAGCGCCACGAACGCGTGCAGGGACACGCTCTTTCACGCGCTTCTGAACAATAAAGAGAAATAAGCGTGTGGGACAATATGGCGAGATGCCACCACCCTAAGCAAAGCGCACATGAAGGCACCTTAGGTTCCCCAAGATCGTGTCCGGTATGTCGACACAAACCTACGTGGACAGCTACCGCCATCTATAAGCGACGGCGGCAAGCACACAACCAGTATGGTTTCCGCCGTCACTTGTAGATGGCGGCAACCTTTCCTGCAATAATAGAAGAATGGATAGTTGGGCGCGTTGGTGGGTTTTCGTCGTTGGAAACAGCGCGAAAAACAAACGACAACGAAGAAGAAGCACACAGTGTATCGAGTACAGCTCCGCTGGTCTTCTTTCTTCACGAGAGTGGAAAGGCTGAACGATTTCGATTTTAACCGATTCAGCATTTTTCACTCCAGTAAATATGTATCGGTGCCTTTCGTTTTCTTTTACTGCTTTTGCAATTTCGTCACCGAAGGATGTTTATTGGTGTTTTTCAGTTATAACTGGAAAGTTTACTGCCTAGGCCGAATCGAAGACTGGTAAGCCCACGAACAGGGCAGAAACCGACTTGCTCTGACGTCATATCAGCCACCATTCTGGTGGCCTTGCTGCTGAGCACGTGTCCTCTGGTGCACATATTTCGCACCAACCAATCAGTTTTAGTTTTATCTGCAAGGACAAATAGGAACAACTACCCGGACGATGTGACGACGTCACGCGCCCAGATAGATGTACGCCGGGTGATTTGTTTCTCCGTACTGTTCGATTGGCGCAATCGACTCCTGAATTCAACTGCGCTCTGACCCGTGGTGATGAAACTTTTCGCAGCTCGAGAGCGCACTTTGATGACGAAAGTTGTTGTTTCTGGTTGACGGCCAACTGAATGGGCGTTCGACACCGCTGTCGTTAACACGTACTATATCTCGTTATAATGCTTACAAAATCACAGCCCTGCATGCAATCCCCACAGCCCAGCATGCAAGTGCGCACCATGCGCCGCACGAACATAAGTAATTGTGTTGTGGGCATTGGCGCACCCAGGATATTCATTTAGGGGGGGAGGGGGGTTAGGAAAGCTATGCAATTTACTTTTCAATTTATTTTTCAACTACACTTTGTTGTGAGCTATTACATTTGCTTTATTACAATTTTTGCATAATTTTCCCCTGTTCCCCTCTCCCATTTTACGGATTACCTGGTGTTGCGCTTTTTTGACTCCACTTTTGTAACCCCCAATCCTGCTTGGGCCGCAATTGGCCTGCAGTATTCCTAAATAAATAAATAAAATAAATAAAACGAACTTCGACGTGCTCTGTTGAGATTGCGGTGCTGCAAGTGCAACTCAGGAATAACCCCGATTCGGAATTATTTCGCGGGCACAAATTTTTATGATCCGTGGTGTAGTCGTCAGTGGCGTACGAACTACTTCTCAAGCAGAAGGACAAACCAAACACCCCCCCCCCCCTTCCCCTCCCCCCCCCCCCCGCATCCCGAATCGCGCCTGTTCGGCTTCGTACCAAATTTCACTTCTTTTCTGCTTTTATTTTTTGAAGCGCTAATGCTAAAGTTAAGATTTATAAATTTAATGTGAAGATAAGGTCCTTCATTCTGAGGACAGCAAACGAGGATTTTTACCAATTAAAATTGCGTTTTTATTGTATTTCTGAGCCGCCTCTAGAGCTCCCGCGTTGGGGGCTTGATTGCTGTCCTGGAGACTGCAGGTCCAGATGCACCCGATATTATTTGGTCGGTCGATGACTGCAAATTTCGATTCGTGATTAAGGATGCGCAGGGATTATTTTTTGGAAGGAGTATGCAGACTGAATCCTCTTATTAATAGTTGTGCGCATATCTTGAAGCATGCCATAT